CCCCAAAACCCCAAAACCCCAAAACCCCAAAACCCCAAAACCCCAAAACCCCTATATTTTCGGAGAGGTTGAAATACAAAGATATATAATTAATTTAGTTATCTTCTAGCCGTGCTGGCTGAATCTTATGAAAATAGACTGATATTTAAAATTTGTAATGTTTCTACAAATTTAAAAGACTTGACTTTCAAGAATCCCTAATATGACAGTCTAGGTCAAACAGAACGAAAACTATTTGAAAAAAAGACACTTTTGCCAAATATTTTAGTCAAAAATTCATTAAATCCGACATTAATCTTATTTGCAAAGGAAACCCAAATCTAGCTCCCAATGAATTCTCCATTCAGAAACACCAAGAGTAGATTGTAGGGTTGGAATGATAAAAGAGAGTGTCTGTAAAAATAAATTATTTCAAAACATTAGTTGACCCGTTTATCAGTTGATAATTTTAGTAAGGGATGCGACTCTTGATCGTTTGAGGATTGTGACAAGATGATACTCGATGTTAATATGATTCGCAAGGCTGCTGATTTTGAGAACTTAATGATTACTTATAAAGAACAGAAGAAGTATAAGCCTGCCAATTACATCGACTTGATTGATGAAAACTGAAAGATTCTAGAACTTGATCATGATTTATCTGGACGTGCTAAGTTAGAGAAATAATGGGTTCAAGCAAGTTGTACATAAATGTATTTTTATCAGACTACGCTCAAAGAACACTTATCCAAAGTGCCCAGCTCGGAGCAAGCCAGGCCAAGAAGATCAAAGACCTGAATAAATTTCCTTCGAGGCTATCATAGCAAAGAGTCTGAAAGTTCTGACTCGAACCACTTTATAAAACTCAACAAAATCATGAATAAATCAAAAGAGAATGAAGGGTTTGCTGAAAAGAACCAGCAGATAATAGCAGAATTATATGAGAACGGTGTGATTGATTCCAACTGGAACATTGTAGAATATCCAATGAAGATTTAAAAATTAACTTTTAATTAAAGAATTTCTCCTAAAAACCTCTCATCCAAAGTGAAAAAGCAGTAATTCAATGCTGCAAGATCCTCTCTGCCCCTGAAATAGCAACAGAAAGTAGTTACATATCATTCGGGCTCTGAAATTGCCATCTGAGGTGAAAGAGACCCATTTCACGACCTTCAAGAGGGTGATGAAATTGCATGTATTTTCGTGATTTTCAAAACCTCCATTACCATGGCCGAGAACCCTAAAAAAGCAAAGTCCTTGGTTTGGAGGAGAGTTGCGAGATTGTTTGCAGTTTTTGGTCCTGTCGAAGAGCATGCTGCTTGGAGAAGTCTCGTTGAGAGTCCAAGACAGGATAGGAAGAACAGGAGCCCGCGAGAACGGTTTCTGCTAGTCTTCCTCGGAACTCCATTCCCCTATTCCTCAGCATGGTCCAATGATAATACGAACATTTAAGATATTGTATTGTAATTTAATAATCAAATGAGAGCAGATGTTATGAAACAGCTGATTAGAACACCTGAATTAAGCTTTGCCTCAAGATTTCCTAAAGTCCTCTTTATCTAATGGAATCCTTAAGCAAAATAATAAATCTCTTGAAATTTCAAACAAATAAATAGAGCAGATAAAGTTTAATATCGATCTAAAGTTTCATAACAGTCGTTTATTTCAACCGTGGATGTCTATCTCGGGGTTTTGGGGTTTTGGGGTTTTGGGG